GACTCAATGGCACCTAACAACAACATCAAAAAGTGTGTGGAGCACAGTTCTACTCTGACACACATGGGATTGCCATGCGTCATAATTGACTCAACAGAAACTGGTTCGTTTTATATTAACCATAACCTCCTCAATGCAGTTATTAAGAAATGCAGGCTTTATTGTCCAAGGTGGTTTTCCTGTGTTTCTTCTCCTTAATCATTAGCATTTGTCAACTGGTAAGCATAAACAACAACAACATCCATCATTTACTATGACCCAAGTACTGTGATCCAAATTTTGCATACTTTATAACAGTCCACTGAGAAAGTACTCAGCAATATTTAAAAGGGGCGGTCTCTCTCATTCACACAACTAGAAAGAGTAGGGAGAGTAGGATGAGGGGCTTTCTGGAATCAGTGTCTCACTATGAACATGAATATAAAGCAGCATTCATTTTCTGATGTTTTATCCCTTCCTCCCATAGATGCTTATAGTAGCAGCAGTTCTTCTAGTACTGGAAAATGAAAATAACCATAAATGTTGCCAGAGTGAAAATTGCACCAAAAAGTACATGGTAAGAGCATCACTTTTTTGAGAATGGGCTTCAGCTTTCTTTCCTCTCACTCAGAAACACTAAAATATTGATAATGCCGTATTCCCTCAGTGACGCTAACAATTCAAACCTCAAGTGTTGACTCCAAAGATCATCCTTCATTTTGAATAGCAGCCTTTCCTCCACTTTTGTCCTGCTGATACATATATATTTTTTAATTCAGAATTTAAAGACACGAGAAATTGGAAACTAATACTACCTTTCCAAATGGACCAGGAGGCCTGGTGGCACAGTGATTAAGCACTCTAACCTAAAGGTCAGCAGTTAGAACCCACCAGCTACTCCAAGATGTGACACTCTACTCTTATAAAGATTCATGAATGTTGTAATGAAACAAGGTGTATGATTTGTTGAATGTAAAACTGATGATCTGCCCTGTAAACTTTCACTCAATCCACAATAAAAACCTTGGGGGAAAAAAGAAAAGATTCATGCATGGATTCTGACTCACAGCATTGTAAAGATTACAGCCTTGGAAACTCTTTGGGTTGTTTAACGCAGTCCTGTTAGCGTCGTTGTGAGTTGGAGTTAGCGCCATAGCAACAAGAAATTTGGGATTAGGTTTTTCCTAATGAGGTTGCTGTGAGAATATGTTTTGCTTTATCAATGTCTTTGAGGAGTAATTTACATACAATAAATGATAACCATGAAAAGTATACAATTCCATGAGTTTTGCACTCACCCTTGAAATGACCATCACAATCAACATACAGAATATTTTGATCACCCTTGAAAGATTAACCAATGATCTATTTTTTGTCATCATAGATTGTTGTTGTTAAGTGCCATCAAGTCAGTTTCAACTCATAACAACCCTGTATAGGGTTTCCAAGGAGTGACTGGTGGGTTTCAACCACTAACCTTGTGGTTATAAAGCATTCCAGTTCTTATCCTACAACACCACATTAGGACTCCCATCATAGATTAGTTTGCATTTTATATAAATGGAATCATACATTATTTGTCTTCGGTATCTAGATTCCTTCACACAGCATAATGGTTTTAGGTTCATCCATGGGTTTGTGCATATTAATGTACATTTTTTTAATTGAAATTTGAAAAAGTTAAAATAGAATCAAGGGAGAATAATACAACCAATCTTTTAAGCCTGTGCTAACCAGGTAGACAGGGGATTCCTACATTGCTATTGTCATCTTTCTACTTCTCTTCTTACTCATTGTTGTCATAATTTCTCACGTTTATGGTTCTTCCCTAGTTATCTAGTGAATTCTGTTATCAGCACTCCTATTTTACAGGTGAGGCACCTTGGCTCAGAGAGGACATGTGACTAGCTAACTCAGAGGGGGTTTCCCAGGAGTTCCAGGAGGCAAGTTTCACTCTGTGGCTGCACACTGCCATCACCTGGGGAGCTTGAGAAAACCAGGATGCCTGGGTCCTACCTCAGGAGTTGTTAATTTAGTGGATCTGAAGTACAACACCTGGCTAGAGATACATTTTAAGTCTCCCCAGGAGATTTTAATGTGCAGTCAAGATGGTACGGCTAGATTAGATGACTTTGGAAAATTAAATTAGTTCCTTGTGTGTGTCTGTGTGTGTCTTCTACCCAATTGACTCAGACATTCACCTATAGCTGCTAATCTTATAGTTATGGAGGAATTTTTGAAACTACCTAGGGGAAGCATTGATAACAGACAATCTGTGATACTTGGGGAATTCCAGGGAACAAATGTGGGTGCCATTCTAAATACATAATCAAAATGCTGTTGTTGTTAATTGCCTTTAAACTGATTCCAATTCAAAGCTACCGTGTATAGGATTTTCAAGGAGTGGCTGAATAATTTGAACAACTGGGCTTGTGGTTCAAGCTGACCTTTCAGTTCAGTGCTTATCCTACAGAGCCACACCAGAACTCACTATTAATATATATAGCACAATTGTGTGCTAGAAAAAGTCTGGAGTCCGACCAGGGTCTTATAATCCGCATTGTCTGACATAATGGACATCTGCATGGGTGAAGTATGTGGAAGGAAATATGAACTGAAATCTCTTCTTGGCTTTCCCAAAGCAAGTTCTAAAATGGGGGTCCCAATTCACATGCCCCCAAGAGCCAAATATGTTATGTAAATGAAAGAAGAGAGCCTCTTAGGCCTTAAAGTTTCCATTTAAGGATGGGAGGGAGCTGCTACTCAAGTTCAGCCAATGTTTATCACGATAACATTGGATAATAGTTTTTCATTTTTAAGAGTAAGAAGAAATGTGAATATGTATATGAAACCTTTAAATTATAAAATGTTGAAAATTAATTCTGATTCAAGAAATTGTATGGACCAACTAATACACATCTTACAGGATAAATTTGAATCTTGACCAAGTTTGCAAATTCTGAAGCTCCAAAATTGAAGTTGAGGTCAAGCAAAATTCACTTCTCTGTTGCCATTTATTCCTGTGTGGGAACTGGTCTACCAAAACTCTATGGTTTGTTAAGTTTGAGAAAACAAAGATTGACCAAAGAAGAATACTAGGAATAATAGCTGATATTTTGATTATTCTGTATACTTTTCAAATAATTTGTACATCATTGTCTTCTTTACTACTAAAACAGCCATAGTGGGTACGTTCTAGTCTCATCTATATCTTTACATTTTACAGAAAATGCAACTGACTCAGAGAGGTTCTTGTTTCAACTTTATTTTGAGGCTGCCTCTTTTGGGCAGTGGTGTCCACTTATTAGACTGTGATGTGTATTATGAGTTATATATTATACTATTGTTGTTGCTGTTGTTAAGTGCCATTGAGTTGGTTCCAACTGTATAGGGTTTCCGATGAGAGGCTGCTGAGCTCGAACCACCAACCTTGTGGTTCAAATTGAGCTTGCAGTCCAGAGCATTAACCCACAGCATCACACCAGGACTTCAGATTATTATACACATGTATTATATTCTATAATATATGTGTGTTATACATTATACTGTGATTGTCAATTTCCTCAAGTGAAGAAATTCTTCACTGCTCTTCCTAGTGAACTCCTTAAGGACACATGTGGTAAACAAGGTAAACAATCTTTTTTTATAACATCCTTCTTCCTTTGTTGAAGTTGGCATTGGTGAATAGGCAAAAATTTTTTTAAAGTGTAACTAACACTGAGGTCACTGTGAGTCAAAATCAATCTGACCTCAACTTGTTTGCGTTGTATTTTTTGGATCCAGAAATCTGCTGTAAAAGTAATAATAATAATGTAGTCCTCTTTATCTATTCCCATGAGGGAGAAAAAAACTATAAAATCAACCTGAGAAATATCATTTCAAAGAGCTTTTAATGATATGTGAAAATACCAATTAAAAAATTAATATCAATTTTTACTCCTGTGATCAGATTTATTGTCTCTTTTCCCAGTCTTGGTTCTTGAATTTATCATCAACTAACTATCTCACATTTCTGTTTGGTTATCCTAGTCTTACCTTAACATCAACATTTCCAACACTGAATTTATCTTCCTCCCAAATCAAGCTATTCCTCTCGGCATCCTTAGCCTAGCTCCTTTTCAGCTAAGCCCCAAATTTGAGCTTTTTTTAAAAGCCCATCTCCAGCTTTGCAGTTCCTCTTGAATGTCTCTTTTCACTTTCTCTTACTACTTCGCTCACTCCAGTACATGTCTTTATCACCTTGACCTGAGGTTGCCCCCACATGGAATCTTTACCTTTGGACTCTCATTTCCAGTATGTATGCACACTACTTCCAGAGCAATCTTTTAAAGCATGTACTGTTCATGTTATCTCCTTGTTCAAAAACCAATTACTTGGTGGCTTCTTTTGGAGAAAAAACAAAACAAAACACTGAATTTAGATCTGGGGCAGGCAGTTCAAAGGAAGCTGGAGATAGCTGTGACAGACAACAAGGAAGTATTCAAAGAATAATGGGGACATGGCAAAATGCACAGGAGCTGACTTGAAAGGATATTTTCATTGACCAACTTTGGGACTATCTGTACATCTGAAAGAATAATAATAGTTATGGATTACAGTGCATTGAATTAGAAAATCCATGAGCCCACATGCTACAGAAAGAGACAAGTTGGGGAGAGAGAAATGGGAACTGGAAGGTAATCTGTGCAGGAAAATGATCATTTATAAATTCAGAGAAAAAGATAGCAAAGAAGCACATTGCGGCCCCAATGTAATAACTGATGATCAATAGATCTTAGGATCATCAATGGACACTAAATCCATCATTTAAAATGTTGTTAGGGAACAAGATGTGACACAGATTTAAAATATCATCTCATAAGACTATTTACAAGTGGGAAATTTTCATTATCCTTTAATTCCATGTTTCCATGAACCTCTTACTAATTACAAAATGGAAAGTGTGTTTTTACAGTGGCAAGATCTTAAAGACACCACCTGAATAGAGAGAGCAAATTTATCACCATCAAAGGCAGGAGAAGCTGGCACAATGGGCCTCCTGGTACACAACTCACTAATCTAGTATTCTTGTCAAAATATTTAACCTGAATCCAACTTGCAGACACAACCAAGAAAACCAGACTGTGGAGCATGCTACAAGACAAACACCCGGAATTCTTAAAAACAAAAAGTAAAAAGTTATATAATGAAAAACAAAACGGCAAACAGACTATCCTAGATTAAAGGAGACCAAAGAGATGCAAATTTGTCCATCAACTTTCACTGGATCCTGGAAAGTTTTTATTTAAAACCTATAAAATGCAGTTAGGGACAATTGTTGTTGCTGTTAAGTGCTGTCAAGTTGATTCCGACCCATAGCGACCCTGCATAGGGTTTCCAAGGTTATAAATCTTTACAGGAGCAGAAAGCCTCATCTTTCTCCCACAGAACCGCTGGTAGTTTTGAACTGCTGACCTTGAGATTAGCAGCCCAATTGGTATCCACTATGCCACCAGAGCGCCTTTGGGGAAATTTAAGTAGATTACATATTAAATCAGCTAGTTGCTATTGAGTTATCAAGGACTCATGGCACTTCCAGGCGTGTCAGAATTGAACTGTGCTTCACAAACTTTTCAATGGCTGACATTTCAGAAAGTACATCACCAGGATTTCATTCCATTCTAGGTGCCTTTGGGTGGTGGACTTGAAACTCCAACTTTAGATTAGCAGCCACCAAATACTTCTTAACTGTTTGTGCAACCCAGGAATTCCAATTTACATATTGTTGTTGTTCTTGTTAAGTGCCGACGAGTCAGTTCCGACCCACAGTGACCCTGCACAGGGTTTCCAAGGAGTGGCTGGTGAGCTTGAACCACTGACTTTGCAGTCCAGTGCATTAACCCACAGCACCACACCAGGACTCCAGTTTACATATAAATGTCAGATCATATAATAAAATTATAGTTACATTTCTTTAGTATGAAAAAGTATTATGGTTATATAGAAAATATCTTTATTCTTAGAGGAAAAGTGCCAGATGTATTTAGGGGTGAAATTTCTTGATATCTGCACACCACTTACTTTCAAATAGTTCAGAAACAGAAATATATAATCAAATAAATGTGTTTATAAAGACAGCAAATATTTCAAAATATTAACAATAGGTGATTCTAGGTAAAAGGTATATGTTGCTGCTGTTAAATGCTGTTGAGTAGGTTTCTACTCATAGCAACCCTGTATGCGGTTTCCAAGGAGTGGCTGGTGATATAAAACCACCGACCTTGCCTTTCAAACTGTCCTTGAGGTCGAGTGCTTATCTTATGGTGTCACATGTTGTTGTTGTTAAGTGCCGTCAAGTCGATTCTGACCAATAGAGACTCTGTATAGGATTTCCAAGGAGTGGCTGGTGAGCTTGAACCACCAACCTTGTGATTTGAACCAACTTTGCAGTCCAGCGCATTAACCCTCAGTGCCACACCAGGATTCCTGGTGCCACATAAGTACTCATACTATACTTTCAATTATTTAAAAAATTTGTGATTTTTTTTTTTTTTTTTGTAGTAAAAGGTTGAGGAAAACACCTTGCCCTGGAGGATGAAGGCCAACCTCCTTGTTCTGCCATTCAGCCCATTTCCACCCAGATTTGCACTGGCCTTTATAAACTGCACTCTCCTTATAAGCTTCTCAAGGACTGTTTTCATTGTTTCTTTACTCATTTCTGTGTGGACACTTACTAGATTGGATCCTTCTGCTTACTGCCTCAGAACTGTAAGCCGCTCTGCCCCTGAACATCGCTCATATTCTTTACTCAGATGAAAACCCCCTCCTTCCCATCAACCCCATCTTCAAACCCTCTCCTTCCCATCAACCCCATCTTCACTTGAATATGAAAATCAACATAAACATGAACACGGATATCTAGGCTAACAGCTCACATATTATAGGAAGTTATGTCAAATTCCTCTTTTCAGGAAAAAATAAAACAAGGATCATGAGAGTAATACAGAGAATCTACTCTCCCTGGAAAATGACCTATAATATGACCTGTTCATATTCCTTCATTTATGTAAGAAATAATCATTATTAACTGGCTGTATGTTGATAACACAAAAATCCCAAACAAGAATAAGAAATTTAGTAAGTTGTCTAGTTTCCTCTACATGATGGCGAAGAATAAGTCAGTTAAGAAATTATTTTTGTTATCAGATGTGTTTGGAGTAAACTTTTTCCAATTTTATTGGGAATTTGGTATAATATAGCCTATAGCAGTCTTGGGTAAATAGAGCAATGTATCTATCAACTCATTTATCCACTTATGGCATTAACCATTTTTCCATGTTTAATTTAGACAATGCTGTCGATTATCTTTTCCACTCTGGGAATTGCTTTCTCTGGATATTGCCTGGTCATATCTGCTTTGGGCCTTGTCCAGGGCCCATACTGTCGTACTCTCAAAGGCTGGACTTACGCCTTTGAAGGCACCGCAGGACGGTAAGTAGTAATTCCCCAAATCAAGGACGTCAGAAAGTCAGAAACATCTGACCTCACACTCAAGCTCATTTCCCACTATTACTTTGGGGTTCAAGGTGGCTAAATGAATTTTCTTATTAGTTTACTAACATCTAGTCTGATTTTTTTTCCCCCCTACATAGATCTTTGCTTAGATGCTTTCTCTCCAGTCCTTTAATGCCATGTCCATCCAACATTTTGAGACAGTCATGGAAATATCTAAATAAATGAAATATTTCTCCCATACTTTAGTCTAGGCCTTGATGATTATTGTGGTCTGACAACAGCTGAGCCTGGGGTTTGAGTGGTTCTAACAACTAAGTCTTCACAGTTCCTGACTAATTGGACATATTGATCTATAGTATTAAATCTTGCGATGGGGGCTGAACACTGGATTTTGTATTCCCTTGAAAAGGAATATGAATGAATGTGAGTTGAAGGAAAGGGTGGATGAATTCTTTGCACCTCTCCTTCCTTCCTAATGTGGCATCTACAGTGACTTTCTGGTGGAGGTGTTTTGTCTGAAGATCTTCTTATTGTGTCACTGGCCTCCAGTCACCCCTGTCCAGAGAGTAGATGATGGAATGGGGTTTTGTGGTCAGGTTGGGAAGGATGTTTGTTACACCTGTGAAGGGACTTGATTGGAAGAGAAGCACCTGGATTGGTGACAATGGGGGCTGTCCCAGCAAAGCTAGATAGAGAGAACCGGGCAGAAAACAGAGATTTAACTAGATGCAGGAGTTGTGAAAGGAGCCAAAAGCTTATCTAGCAAATTCCCAAAATATGTCTAAGGAGGTAGTCTTGTTCAGAAGGCTGGTCATTGAGTCAGTTGTCCAGAGACCCCATCCTGCATCGCAGAAGGCCTCCACACTGACGTTGTGCTGGTTTGTTTGGTCACTGCCATGTAGAGACAACTCAAACAGACACTCAGGAGAAGTCCTTTGACTCTCTCTCTATCTTATCTATTGGAATGAGATGCAGAAGTCTCTGTTTATGCCCTTTACTGGGGCATTACATTTTCTTTTCAAATTTCCAGGATTAGCTCTCCCATTCAAGACCCATGTTTATTTAAGGTCTTGTATACTCACCTAGACCTGCACAGCAGAACTGATTCTGTGACACACAACTGCCTTCATCCTCAAGATTCCACAGATGCCATGTGGTATGACATCTTTTAGAGAGCAGAGTTCTCTGCATTTCAGGATAGCCTTGACGTAACCTCAGGCCCTTTTGAACACTCACAGGTCAGATTAGAAGGGCCTCCAAAAATAGGACTCTTATGTAGAAACTCCCGTTCAAAAACAGCGAAACCTGTTGCCATCAAGCTAATTAGGACTCATGGAAACCCCACATGTTTCAGAATAGAACTGCACCTTAAAGTTTCCAATAGCCGGAATTTTTGTCAATTTTTTTTGTTGTTGTTGTTGTGTCACGGGGTGGATTTGAAACACCAACCTTTCAGTTACACAAACTGTTTGCACCACCTAGATACAGAAGACGTAAAGTTTTTATATCATTAGGCCCTTAATTTTTCCCCACCCCAAAGCCATGAGGCAGAAATGACTGGACAGCACTTGACAACAACAATAACCTGCCATGTTCAGGCCTTGGACTAGGTGCTAAAGAATCAAAGACACACTATATAAGTTCCTGTCCTCTAGGAACTCACATAAATCTAGCAGAACATGCTGTTGAGATGAAAGTCTCACAGTGACCATGTCCTTGGTCTTAGATGATTGTGGATTTGGTTCAAGCGACATAGCTTTATAAACTATAAGATCTCTGTTGTTGTTGTGAAGTATAAACTATAAGATCTCTGTTGTTGTTGTGCCATCGAGTCGGTTCTGACCCATAGCGACCCTGTATAGGGTTTCCGAGGAGCAGCTGGTGAGCTTGAACCACTGACCTTGCAGTTCAAACAGCTTTGCAATATGGCGCATTAACCCACAGCACTATACCAGGACTCCTAAATTTCTATAAATTGGTAATAAAAATAATTTCCACCTCACAAAGTCGAGAATTAAAACAAAATGAGAATAAATAAACATCCCAAATGTGTCAGATTTTATTATTAACCTCACTGTTCTTCACATTCCTTTATGCCACATTGTGATCTTCCAGGTGACCAACAGCTTCAACCACTGGCATGATGACTGGTATGGATTCCAATTTCATTGTTCATTAAACAAGCACTTGTTGATCTTTACAATATACTGCCTTAGGTCTTAGATCTGACCTTTTAGAAGTGATTAAAACATGATCAGTGCTCTTAGAAACCAGAGTTCACTGAGGAAATAGATACAGTTAGAGAATTATAACTTGATGCAGTAAGTGCTGTGATGGAGCTATATATGGAGTGGGAGTCTGGCTAAGCTTTCCTATTTCTACCAGACCTTCCTAGCCCATTTATAACTCTCCATAGTTTGCATTTACAAGAAAAATAAATAGTACTATAATCTGAGAGACCAACAGAAACCTTGCGTGTCATCTTGTTTTAAAGTATTGGATGAACTGTGGACCACGAAGCAGTCTAAGGTTGGGGGCTCAGGGAAGAAGCTGCCCTGAAGACTTGGGATGAAGTCAGGGGCATAAGAGAGTATAAAGATAGGTCTGGGGAAATCATGACAGAAAATCATACATGTATCTGCTAACCACAAGGTTCAAACCCAGAAGTCATGCCTTGGAAACCTAAACAGGGTTACTATGAGTCAGAACCCACTCGACAGCACTTAGCAACAACAATTATACTTTACAAATTCCAAAGCATTTTTACATATATCTCACCAAATTTTCACAATAATACTTGGGTTAGATCTTTTAATTTCCATTGATCAGGTAAGACTCTTAAGGTCAGAGTGGTAAAGTCCCTTCCCCCAAATCATACAAATCTAGAAGTTTGGACTCCACATTCAATGTGAAGACCATTCCCCAATATTAAGACAGTCTCAGAGTGCCTCTGAGTGTCCTGGAGCATGCATTGTTGTTGGTGTGTGGCATCAAGTTGATTCTTATTCATAACAGCCCTATGTTGTTGTTGTTATGTGCCGTGGAGTCAGTTCCGACTCATAGTGACCCTGTACAGGGTTTCCGAGGCTATAAATCTTTATGGGAGCAGAAAGCCCCAATTTTTCTCCTGTGGAACAGCTGGTAGTTTTGAACTGCTGACCTTGCGATTCCCAGCCCTATTCGTAACCACTACGCTACCAGAGCTCCTGATTTAGGACAGCATTAAGACTCTCCCACAGGGTTTCCTAAACCGAAATCTTTACAGAAGCAGATTGCCAGGTCTTTTCTCCCTCCAGTCTTCCAGTTAACAGTCAAGCACTCAAGCATTGTGCCACCAGAGTGCCTTTGGGGCATAATAAAAAAATACAGAAAAAGAGAGAAAGGAAGTCACAGAGAAGTGGAAGAGGATGAAAGAAAAGAAAATGAAAGAAGAAAGAGGATTTGGTAGTAGTGGCTGTTAAATGCCATTGAGTCTGTTTCAACTCATAGCAACCCTGTATAGTGTTTCCAAGGAGTGACTGGTGAATTTGAACCTCAGATCTTGCAGTCCAGTGCATTATCCTGATGCATAACCCCTCTCTCCCCACTAGAACCACTTGTTTGGACTCAGATAACATATTGCTATTCTGGAAAAACAAATCTTGCTATTGACTCAAGATACTTAGACACAACTCTGCCTTGTAAACAGGTTTGGTTGCTTTTGTGGTGGAGATTTGAGAAGACCAGTTTTCAATTTCAATTTAGCTAAACAGAGAGAATTTCCCCCTTAGGAAACGTGCTAATGGCCATGGCAGGTCTGAAGGTGAGCAAAATGGTTGATTCAGTTTGGTTAAAAGATTATCCTGGGAACAGTTTCATTCCGGCTTCCCATCTCTCATAATCCTATTCAAACCTTTTAGTCAACTTGGTTCCCACTTCATTATCTAAATCTTAACAGCTAAAGCAGAGGTTCTCAAAATGTGACCCAAGTCAGCAACATCAGCACCACCTGGGAGTTTGTTAGAAATGGGAATTCTTAAGACTCAACTGGACCTGCTGAATCACTAGCTCTGGGGTAGAGCACTACATTCTATGTTTTAACAAGGCTCCCAGGTAATTCTTATGTATGCTCAAGTTTGGAAACCACTGTTCTAAATGGGTTTGGTACAGAATCCAGGAAATCTCAAGTAGAATTTCTCTTTGTTATTTTGCTGAATGTATGATTTTACATCCAACACAGCAAGCTCAAACCCATCCCTGACAGACCAGACCAACTTCTGCACTGCTATAAAAAGGCACTCTTTGTCTCACCTGCTCTTGACATGTGCTGGCTTACCATGCTGTTGAAATCTTCAGTGTGAGTCTTGATTTCTCATCAAACTGGAGTTCTTTCTAGGGCAGGTTCCATGGTCATAATAAACTAAGTGCCTGCTCAATGCTATCTATACATACAACAAATTCAATATATGTATAAGAATGATTATTAAAATATATTGATTCATATTCAATATTGTGATATATTTTAATCATATTATTGATTTCATGTTGTTGCTAAGTGCTGTCAAGTCAGTTCCAACTCATAGCGACCCTGTATATGGTTTCCAAGGAGCAGTTGGTGAGTTTGAACCACCAACTTTGCTGTCCTTACTTATCCTACAGCGACACACTTGTTGTTGTTAAGTGCCATCAAATCGATTCCGACCCATAGTGACCCTGTATAGGGTTTCCAAAGAGCAGCTGGTGAGCTTGAACCGCTGACCTTGCAGTTCAAACGGCCTTGCAGTCTGGCGCATTAACTCACAGCGCCACACTAGGACTCCTTCATTTCATAAACATGAAAATATCTGTGGCTATCTTCCTTGAAGTCCATACTTATCCTAAAGTGTCACACTTGTTGTTGTTGTTATTAGGTGACATTGAGTCAGTACCAACTCATAGTGACCTTATGTGTGGCACTGGGGGCTAATGCGCTGGACTGCAAAGTCATTTGAACCACAAAATTCATGGTTCAAGCTCACCAGCCGCTCCTTGGAAACCGTATACAGGGTCACTTTGGGTCAGAACTGACTCAACGACACTTAACAACAGCGTCACACTAGGACTCCTTAATTTCATAAACATATGTTAATTTCATGAACATATCTGTGGTCACCTTCCATCTTTCATATACCAAATATAGACTGGGTCATAGGTGTTACTGACCATTTCCTTCCTCTCTGACAGTTTCCTTACAGATTCCAGCACATGGGTTCAGTGCCTGGAACCTCCAAACATAGTGGAGTGGAACATCATTTTATTTTCCATTCTCATAGCCCTCAGTGGGCTTCAAGTGATTGTCTGCCTCATCAGAATAGTCATTCAACTATTCAAGATACTGTGTGGCACCTACTCAGTCATCATCCAGGTAACAGATCCTCACTGGCACTTGTACCTCCTCCCATTTGCCCTTAATTCCAAGGATTCAGTGAATCTTGTTGAATGTTTTCTTTTAAAATTTCTAGCATTCCATAATTTATTTTTTTTTTTTTTCCATCCTTACTGCCCTCATCTTTACTCAAGCTCAATGTTTTCTCTGGTATCCCAATGTGTCTGTTGACTTGCCTATATGGGTTGAATCAACTGAATAGTTGTAAAATCTATACTTTGTCTTATATTGTGAAACAGTACAATGGTTTTAAATAAGCCACATTTCTGTGTTCTGTGTAGAAATAACCCAAAATCACGAAGAAGTCTAACTATTTATCAAGAAATGACCTGTTTATCAAATTTTATGATCCAGGTTGGATGCATGGAATCTTAGCGCATTGAAAGTTGTTGTTCTTAGGTACCTTTGAGTTTCTGTTTTAAATCCTGCTGCATTCCAATAATGATCCTTCTTTCTACTGAATGCATTAGTGAGTAAATTTGATGAAGAGGCAAAATATATCCTAATTTTATCCTACTGAAACTACTGCTACATAATCTGCTAAAATACTGTTAATTTAGTTTTGGTTGAAACTACCAAACCTGTTGAGTAAATCCAGGTAAGTCATGAGCATGATAGTATATATCTTTGTTTAACATCATAAATGTATAATAACTTTTCTAGTAGTTTCAAGTAGATATTTTCTATTCTATCTTGTGTTGAATGTAAACTACATATTGAATTTTCTGCCTGAATTATGTACCTTTAATTGGGCCAAATTTATCTTACTCACTTTGTTTTTCCTTTTTCTGTAGCCTGGAATCATTTGAATAAGGACAAGAACGTTAAGTAATATGTATCAGGATCTTCAAAATTATTTATACCCTTTGATTCAACAAACCCATTTCCAGTAATCTCTACTATGGAAATAAATGTGAATATAGGATAAGACTTCATGCAAATACATATATTGCACATTGTTAAATATTTCAGAGTGAGGAATATCCCAAAACTCTTACTTTAGGGAAAGGGTTAAATAAAGGTTGATACATTGATTAAAATATTATACAGTCATGATGTTTACATATTTATGTACCCAACGTGGGCAGAACAATCTACAACAAACAAAAATCTAAATAAAACTTAGAATAAAAAATAAATTTAGAAGGAAATGCACCAAACTGTCAACCATATATGATTTGGGTCATAGGTGATTCTTCTTCCTACTTTTCTAGATTTTCCAAGTTTTCATTATTGAGTATGTCCTACTATTAAAATAAATTTCAAACACTAATTACTTAACGTCACAATTTTACTATTAAAAAATGTTGCCGCTTTTCTAACTTAAATGGCTCATGCTTTTTGTACGCACACTCCTCGAATGGAGTCCTGGCATTGTGGGTTAAGGCACTGGACTACAAAGTCGGTTTGAACCACAAGGTCGGCAGTTCAAACTCACCATCTGCTGCTCGGAAACCCTATGCAGGGTTGCTATGGGTCCGAACTGACTCATTGGCACTTAACAACAACAACAACAACAACCCCTTTAATATCTTCAAATAACTGACAGTGAAGGAAACAGTGATGTAGATAAACCAAAAAGTTTTATGTGAATTTATATAATATAAAAAATGGCCTCAATTTCTCTCTTCTGGTGATGATGAACATGGGACAGAAAAAAAGCTGGATTTAAATTAACAGCCAGGGATATTTTCATCAGACTAGGGAAAGTTACCCTTGACCAGTTAGTTCCCCAAACCTCTGTGTGTGTACCAAAACAAAACAAAACAAAAAAATCATTGCCACCAAGTCCAATTTGCGGTGACCGTATGTGTTTCAGAATAAAACTGAAAGGATTTTCATTGCTGTAATGTAGCATAGTGGTTACGAATCGGGCTGTGAACCTAAGGCCAGCAGTACGAAACTATCAGCCGCTCCGCGGGAGAAAGATGAGGTGTTCTGCTCCCGGTAAAGATTTACAGCCTCAGAAACCCTGTACAGGGTCGCTGTAGGTCGGATATGACTTGACGGCACGTAATAACAACAACAATATTACAAATGTAGATTGCCAGGCCTTTCTTCCTCAGGCTTTCTTCTGTTTGATGGATTTAAGCTGCGAACTTTTCAGTTAGTTGTAGTTGTTGCTGGTAGGTGCCATTGAGTCACTCTGACTCGTAGCAAGCCTATGACTTCTTCCTTTAGTACCATCAGTTCTTGATCATATGCTACCTCTTGAAATAGTTGAACATCAACCATTTCTTTTTGGCACAGTAACTGTGTATTCATTGCATCTTGCAAAACAGAAGGAAACACTGCTCAGTCCTGTGTGATCCTCAATAACTGTTCTGACATTCGTACCCATTATTGTTGCCACTGTGTCAATTCATTTCATTGAGTGTCTTCCTCTTTTTTGTTGACCCTCCACTTTACCAAGCATGATGTCCTTCTCCAAGGACTGGTCCCTCCTGATAACATATCCAAAGTATGAAAGACAAAATCTTGTTATCCCCATTTCTAATGAACATTCTGGCTGCACTTCTTCAAAGACAACTCTAATTGTTCTAGCAGTCCATGGTATTTTTTAATATTCTTCTCCAAAACCATAATTCAAAGGTATGAGTTCTTCTACCGTCTCCTTATTCATTGCCCAACTTTCACATTAATTTCTTCTTGTTGTTGTTAGGTGCTATCAAGTCAGTATCAACTCATAGTGACCCTATACACAACAGAAGGAAACACTGCCTGGTCCTAATCCCACCTCACAATTGTTGCCATTCTTGAGCCCACTGATGCTGCCACTTTGCCAATCCATCTCACTGGGGGTTTCCTCTTTTTCTTTGACCCTCCACCTTACCAAACATGATATTCTTCCCAGGAACTGGTCCCTCCTGACAATATGCCAGAAGTATGAAAGATGAAGTTGGGCCATCCTGGCCTCTAAAGAGCACTCTGGTTGCACTTCTTCCAACACAGCTCTGTTGGTTCTTTTGGCAGCCCATGGTACCTACAATATTCTCCTCCAACACCGTAATTCAAAAGCATCAATTCTTGTATGGTTTTTCTTATTCACTGTTCAGATTTCACATGCTTATGAGGTTATTGAAAATACCATGGCTTGCTTCAGGCGCACCTTAGTCCTCAAGCTGACATCTTTGCTCTTCAACACTGTAAAAAGGTCTTGTGCAGCAGATTTGCCCAATGCAATACGTCGTTTGATTTCTTGACTGCTGCTTCCATGAGTGTAGATAGTTGATCCAAGAAGAACGAAATCCTTGACAACTTCAATCATTTCTCCATTGATAAGAATGTTACTTATTGGTCCAGTTTTCTTCACATTGAGATGCAATCCATACTGAAAACTCGAGTCTTTGATCTTCATTGGTATTTTAAGTCCTCTTCACTTTCAGCAAGCAAGGTTGTATCATCTGCATATCTCAGGTTGTTAATGAGTCTTCTTCCAATCCTGATGCCACATTTTTCTTCAGATAACCCAGATTCTCAGATTATATGCTCAGCATACAGGTTGAATTAAGGTGAAAGAATACAACCCTGTCACACATCTTTTTTAATTTTAAACCATTCAGTGTTCCCATGTTCTGTTCGAATAGCTGCCTCTTGCTCTGTCTACAGATTCCTCATGAGCACAATTAAATGTTCAGTAATACTCATACTTCACAATGTTGTCCATAGTTTGTCATGATCCACACAATCTAAAGTCTTTGCGTAGTCAATAAAGCACAGATAAACATCTTTCTGGAATTTTCTGCTTTCAGCCAAGATCCATCAGACATCAGCAATTATATCCCTCATTCCACATCCTCTTCTGAATCTGCCTTGAACCTCTGAAAGTTCTCTGTCAATGTATGCTTGCAGCCATTTCTGTATTACCTTTAGTAAAACTTTGCTTGCATGGGATATCAAAGATATTGTCCGATGATTTCCACATTCCATTCGGCCACCTCTCTTTGGAATGGGCACAAATATGGATCTCTCCCAATCAGTTGGCCAGATAGTTGTC